AGCCATAAATGCCCTTAGGTTCGAACAAAAGTAAACCCAGTCATCAAAAACCAACCGAAGTTGATAGTGGAAACCAAATTACTTCTCTGACTGACGTTTTCAGTATGCTCTCGTTCTTCTGCCATGCATCCTCAACCACTGATTAATAAAACCGTAGTATTCGTCCGATGGCAACCAGCTGAAACTCTTCCGCAGTATCGAAAGCCGATGTGTCAACAACAAAACACCTCTGTGGTTCACTTACCTCTGTTCCTATAATCCCTAGCAATAGTAAGCATCTCATAACACACCACAATGCCACACATGACACGATATGCATGGATCATTAACCATGTATTACAAGAAACATGATTTTTTGAAACATTTTATCTCCTTAAAACGCTCAAACACAGTAGAATCGCAATAAATATAATATTATGTATGAGTCATGCCTTATAATCAAATATAATATTATGTATGAGTCATGCCTTATAATCACGACACTGTGAGGTAACTAATGGTAAATGTACCAAATGAAATCAGGTGGGGAAGAATAAGAGAAAGTTTGAGCACACTTAAACATTTCTATAACAAATTTCATACATGCATATTTTGTAAAAGAATGTATAGGAAAATGCTGAACAGTCAAGCACAATGTAAAACATCATTCATTACCAGTAAAAACGCTTGAAATAATCTGTTGGCGAAATTTTCGTGGAGAAAAAAGCAGGCCATAGTTTTCGAGAACGACTCTGAATATCGTGTTCAGTAAATAATCAACAATGAAGCAAGCTGCGCAGCGAGTTTACTTCTGTATACTACAAGTATAAATCGGCTCGCGAATTATTGGCAACCAAAAATGTTCACAAATTATAGCCAAAATGGATAGCAAAACTCACATATTCCATTTTTGTTTGAATACACACTTTGCTCCTGTGAACAAGTGCTGTAATAGAGCGACCTTTGGCTTTATCTTCACCTTATTAGATAGAGCGTGTCCTGGGCCTACTGTAGACCTGAAATGGAATACTGTATCAATTTTTATTCAGTTATATTTGCTCAAATGAATTCTGTACCGGCATAAGTAAGACAGTACACCTTTCCATGAAACGTTCCTGGCAACGTGGGCAAGTCCCATTCTGGAAAGCAACAAGTAGGTAACTATTGAAGGATTTATCACTGAACACTTACAAATTTTGTCGTCGTCGATCTTAGCCATAATTTCAGACAATTTAAATGGAATATGTGTCCACAAGGCAATTTTCCAACACGTCGAATATCAGTGTTATCGTCCCATCGAATGAAACATATGGCACAGAACCCTTTATCTAAAAAAAGCTGGGAGATTGCAAAACGATAGAAATGACATACCACTGTTTAGTTCGTCAGCTTTGACAGCTCTCGCGATGCGCATCCTCTTCTGATTCCGCCGGACCTCTTCGCTCATGACTTCAATGTACTGAAACAGTACTTTATAGGCCGAGAAAATCCAAGAAACAGTGAAATGCAATTTCAGCAACGACGAAACTTCTTTGACAACCAGATGTATCCCCTGTTAGTACGTCAACTAATGAATGACTACATGGAAAAGTGAAAAGTAACCATCTGAGGTAACTAGACGTTCGTGGTAAGGCTACTCATGAAATGAAAGTTAAACGTTCGAAAACGAAGTTCATAAACGGCGTAGATCTGTGAAAAGGTGAACAATCAACATTCAACTCGAGTCGAATTATTCTTATGATGAAATTTAAAAATCGTAATGGCAACTCGAATCTACGACAGACTTGAAACTTGTTATTCCGAAGCGATTTCTGCCGAATAAACACCGAAACATGAGACCGTCAGTTCTTTGAACTCGTTTCGGACTCAAATTCAGGCAGTTAGGATATGCATGCAGGTCAGAGTGTTGTACGTAGTGGTTCCTTAAAAAGTCGACCAGTCGCCACAAAACGATGTTGAAGAATAAGGGATGGTTGGAGTTCATTTTGAAAAACGCGCCCAGCCGCAAAAATAGGTCACCGCGCGCGATCAGTCGTCGCCGCGCGGCGCCATGGTTCTACCGCGATGTAAGCCGTTCGTTTTAGGTAACCTTGAGAGTTAGGGGTTCGTACTATTAGGTTGTGGGGAAAGTATCTGCTGAGAACTTCGCGATAGCCCAGATTTCCCCCAGGAATTTCTGGAAGCTTTCATGGGCTTTCAGACGTGTATACGATGTCGTTCCGGCTACCTCTTCCATGCTCATTTGACCATATAACGGTCGAATTGTCTACCCATATTCAACAAGAACTCCTTCACTTGTTCGAATCCGACCACTCCACTGCTGAAACTCTTCTCTCGAGTCCTCTCAAGCGGTATAGCGGTCGGATTGTCTATCCATATTCAACACGAACTCCTTCACTTGTTCGAATCCGACCACTCCACTGCTGAAACTCTTCTCTCGAGTCCTCTCAAGCGGTTGAGCTCGAGGTCCTTTCTGAAGGGTCCTGGGCACACCTCTACGACCCTACGCCTCATAGCACGAAACAAATGGGTCGAAGACGAACCTCCCTGTGATATCAAAAAGTCTCCTAATATTCTGTGCTCATACGGGTGGCTAGCGTCCTTTTGTAGCGTTTCTGAGGGAGCTTTCAGAAAGTCCCAAGCGAGATCTTTAGTCCTATGGAACTGTCGGCAGATTTTTTCCGAACGACTCAGTGGGCATGCAGAGCGGCGCTGCTCGAGAAGCTCGGGCCAGTTAGGCAGTATAAGATCTCTGTGACGGTAATGCACTTGGGATTGCCTCAGAAATCTGGTTGCCTAGGGTCATCGGCAGTTTTTAGGATACCATTATGACGGCGC